AAAAAAAAAAAAAAAAAGTAAATTAATTAAAAATGTAATAAACAGTGCTTCTTGATTTTTATGGAAGTTGACTTTGTGTGTGCATTGGAGTTGTGAAGGTGCCATCTCAGGCAATTCACCCCCGAGGAGGGAAACACGGCTCTCAGTACAGCTGGGAGAGAACAAAGGGCCAATGAAGGGCCATTTTCAAGCTGAGAGTTATGAGGCTGACTTGCACTGATGGGAATGAACCAGCAGGGAGAGGAGAGAGAGGGCGGTCTCCATAAGCAAAGTCATTGAGAAGCTCCAAAGAGATGGGGTGTGGAGCAGTGCACTCACCCTGTGGTCCAAGAACCCACAGCATCAGCCTCAACCAGGAGCTTATCGGAAATGCAAATCTTGAGGCCCCACCCCATACCTACTGATCCTACACCTCGAAGGCAGGCCCAGTGCTGTGTTTTAACAAGCTCTCCATGCAACTCTCACACATGATAAAGTTTGAATAGCACCGACCATCCTAGGTCTCAACTGAAAAGGTGTTCTAGGGCAGATATTCTACCAGCAGATCCTTGGGAGTTGACCAAGCTGTCACTTGTCCCTGAACCCAGCTATTGAAAGGACCTAGAGGAACACATTCAAACCACATTCCTGGGTATCCCAACTCAATGAATTCCATGTCCGCTCACCTGCATCATTCTTGGACACAGTCCCCTTATGAACTTTCTTATACAGAATCACACAGAGGGTCACGATCAGAAGGAACAGCAGCACCTGATTAACTGAAATAGAAATGGAAACACATTAACGTTGAACCTACGAACCTGAAATCACGTGACAAAGTTTAGAATGGTAGTGTGAGTAGATTCCTTCCATGACACAGAGTGGTGTCTGAGACCTTTCTATAAGCAGAGAGCATATAAAGAATTAACCTGGCCAGGTATGGTAGCTTATGCCTGTAATAACAGTACTTTGGGAGGCCAAGGCATGTGGATCACTTGAGCTCAGGAGTTTCGAGACCAGCCTGGGCAACAGAGTGGCACCCTGTCTCCACACACACACACACACACACACACACACACACACACAATTAGCTGGGTATGGTGGCATGCACCTGTATTCCCAGCTACTAAGGAGGCTGAGATAGGAGGATAGCTTGAGCCTGGGAGGCGGAGGCTGCAGTGAGCCAAGATTACTCCAGCCTAGGTGACAGAGCTAGACCCTGTCTCAAATACAAAAACAAACAAACAGAAAGAATTAACCTGGAACACTATTGTTGCTCAGGGGTCTTGCATCTTTACTGAATTTGTATATCAGTTCTAACAGTTCTTTGCTGGAGTCTTTAGAATTTTCCAAATATAAGATTATATTGGCCAGGTGTAGTGGCTCACACCTGTAATCCCAGCACTTTGGGAGGCTGAGGTGGGCAGATCACATGAGGCCAGGAGTTCAAGGTCAGCCAGGGCAATATGGTGAAACCCTATCTCTACTAAATATACAAAAATTAGCTGGGCGGGATGGTGCATGCCTGTAATCCCAGCTATTTGGGAGGCTGAGGCATGAGAATTGCTTGAACCTGGGAGGTGGAGGTTGCAGTGAGCCAAGATCACACCGCTGGGCAATACAGCAAGACCTTTCTCCAAAACAAAACAAAACAAAAACATATCATCTGCAAACACGGATAATTTGAGTTCTTCCTTTCCTATTTGGATGCCCTTTATTTCTTTTGCTTGTCTGATTGCTCTAGCTAGGGCTTCCAGTACAATGTTGAATAACAATGGTGAAACGCAGCCATCCTTGTCGTGTTCCAGATGTAAGAGGAAAGGCTTTCAGTTTTTCCCCATTTAGTATGACACTAGCTGTGGGTCTGCTGTATGTGGCTTTTATTTTGTTGAATTTATGTGATTCTTCTTTTGAGCCAGTAGTAATTATAAATACATGTTCTTAGCCATTATGACACAGTTGCTTCTCAGTTAATTCAACCCTTGGTCAAGGATGATGTGCAGGCCGGGTGCAGTGGCTCACGCCTGTAATCCCAGCACTTTGGGAGGCCAAGGAGGGTGGATCACTGGAGGCCAGGAGTTTGAGACCAGCCTGGCCAACATGACAAAACCCGGTCTCTACTAAAAATACAAAAATTAGCCGAGTGTTGCGCATGCCTGTAGTCCCAGCTATTCAGGAGGCTGAGGCGGGAGAATCACTTGAACCTGGGAGGTGGAGGTTGCAGTGAGCTGAGATTGTGCCACTGCACTCCAGTCTGGGTGACAAAGGGAGACTCTGTGAGAAAGAAAGAAAAAGGAAAAGAAGAAGAAGGAAGGAAAGAGAGAGGGGGAGAGAGAGAGAGAGAGAGAGAGAGAGAG